ATTTAAGGGGGTCTGAATACTTTCCGTACCCACTGTATATCGTGTTGTTTCTGGTTATTAAATTTCATGCTTTTAAGATTCTGAGTTGACAAAATTACTGCTTCCAATATACTTCCCTTTTTCTATCTTACCCGTCTAAGAAACTGTCTGCAAATGATCTCTTTAGTGAGCGAGTACTGAATTGAAGTGTGCACGGGAACTTCAAGCTGAGTTTTCTTCAAGAATTCAACAGTCTGTAACATGAACACAATGATTAAATTAAGCAGCTCATGTGGAAACCAATATCAAAATATTAAATGTAATTTTGTAGTCAAACACACAACAGCTTACATGTATATTGTTTTATAGTCTAAAACACACAAGTTAACTCACTAGCTGTCCTGTGCGTGTCTGGACTCTGTCCTCGGGTCGTCCCTCCCGAAGTAGCTACAGGAAAAAAAGCCAACTGTGAACACTTGAAATGATGTTAACCCAAAAGTTAAAATTTGTTTAAAATGTACTCATCCTCAGGCCATCCAAGATGTATATGAGTTTGTTTTTTTATTGGAAAAAATGTAGAGAAATGTTGCATTACGTCACTTGCTCACCGATGGATCCTCTGCAGTGGATGGGTGCCATCAGAATGAGAGTCCAAACAGCTGATAAAAACATCACAATAATCCACATGACTCCAGTCCATCAGTTAATGCTTTGGTAATTCTACATGTTTGTAATAAATGAAGTCATCATTAAGATGTTTTTCATTTCAAACTTTTACTTGAAGCAGTTTTTTCACTTCACAAGACATTAACAATGTTTAATGTAACTAGGATTATTGCTGTGTTTTTATCAGCTGTTTGGACTCATTCTGATGGCACCCATTCACAACAGAGGATCAGTTGGTGAGCTCATTCTGATGGCACCCATTCACTGCAGAGGATCCATTGGTGAGCAAGTGATGTAATACTAAATTTCTCCATATCTGTTCCGATGCAGAAACAAACTCATTAACATCTTGGATGGCTGGAGTAAATTTCATTTTTTAGTGAACTATTTCTTTAATGCCAAATGAATTGATTTGAAGATGAAACTAACCCTTATTTCCTCTGCAAACATGTCTTTATTTTCTTGTGATGGATAGACAGCCAGACCTTGGGGTAGCAGTTTGTTGCGGCCCACTGATTTTTTCACAAAAACTGTCGCACCTCGTCCACCAAGCTCTGTAAAATAAATATTTACGCTAAAAAAAACCCAGTTCTGAAATGTACTTATTTTAAATCTCCTTAATTTTTTGTGAGGCAAAAGCACTCACTGGGCACCGTCTGAGTGAGGATGAGCTCCATTTTGTCCTGGGGTTTGTGTTTTGTGTCGTCAAGCAAGCGGTACACCCTGTGTCGCCGGGGATGTAGTCTGGGTGGCTTTCCCTCTTTTGATAAAGGAACCTTCCAACAGCGTTCAACAATAGCTGTATTCTGGAATAAGATTAAATTAATAATTGCTTAGAAAAACATCAAAAGGTGTAGATGCTTTTTCACCTCAATTCCAGCTCCAAAGCCATTTCAGTGAAGCCTATATATATATATATATATACACACATACATACATACATATATAT